TTCATCTATTCATTTTTTTTCAGATCCGTTCTTTCTATTAACTCTTGTAGACTGTATACGATTTTAATTATTTCATTTTGTATTTTAGCCAACTGAGATTTATAATAATAATAATTTTAAATAATAATAATAAATTATAGATAATAAATAATAATAATAATATGGTTTCTTTACTTAGTTTTGTCTTGGGATTTTACCATCATTAGTTGTTTAGTGTTTAGAATGATGATACAATATACTATAATTGGAGGCCATATAGCACATGGGTTAATTATGAATCAATGATTTCATTTTTTTTATCAATAATAATAATAATTAATTATAATATTTTTAAAATTATTATTGTTATTATTATTTTTTTGTGGTGTTGACAAGAATAATTATATATCCTTAATATATTTTGTCATATATATATATATATATATATATTTATTTATTTATTTATTTTTATTTATATCATAATAACGATGTTCATTTTGTTTTTGGTTTTTATTGATTTTTTTTATTGAATTTATTTGTAAATTTATTTTATTACATTTGTTTGTGGAATAATTTTATTGAATATTTTAATTTGAGGATGTATATCATGAATTGTATATATATATATATATATATATATATATATATATATATATATATATATATATATATATATATTTACATGACACCTGACGTATACATTTGTTTCCGTATTTGTTTATTGATCAATTTCATTGATTTACACGGCTGGATTGTTTTACGGTGTTTTTTAGATTCATACACAAAACACACACACATGCATATATATATATATATACATATATGCATGCATTATGCAATTTATTTTTCTTTATTTATTTGTGTTTTTTTTTATTTTTCAAAATAAAATTGGTTTAATAGAATGTTTGTTTTAGATTATTGCCAACCTGGTATGTTTTTATAACATATGACTTCCTCGTGTTATATATGATAGGTGTAGAGAGAGAGAGGGAGAGAGAGAGAGAGAGAGAGAGAGAGGCTAATTAAATTTGGAGATATTTGCGTCAACTAATTAGTTAATCAAATAACTATATTTAATGAATTTATTTTATTCAAAATCATGTTTAATTCATTGACAATGACGAGTATTAGTTTACAACGTTAATACATTGCGTGTTGAAATTAAGCATAAGCTGGATAATAATTATTTACATTTACTTTTAAACAGCTTTAAATTTTTCTACACATAATCTGGGTTTTTCCGATGACTTTTTCTAAAATCTCAGAAAAGGAAAGTGAACCGGAGCGCTTAGATAGATATCCAAAGATGGATATTACTGATATTAGTGATTACATTACTTGTAGAAAATGTAAAAATGTCTTTGTATTTCCTAAAATTTTGAAGTGCAGTCACACATTTTGTGTGAATTGTTTAAATAAATTGCTCCAAGAATGCAAAAAAGATGACGACGAGCGTGGAGTGTTTAGTAGTAGTGAAATCAGAAAAATTTCCTGCCCAACTTGTAAAAAAAACATTAAATTGGGTAAAAATGCAACAGTTAACGACTTGAAACCCAACTATTTCATAGAGGAGTTAATCTCAGTAAAGCGTAACCTACCGACAGACGTAAAAATATATAAAATTCGTCATGAAGCTGACGATATAACCGTAGAAGCTGCGCCTCTGGTGATTGAAAAATATTTGAGAAGAGTTGATGAACGTTTGAAGATGCTGAAAGATGATGGCGGGTTGCTGCAGCAGAGATTTACTGTCTTCATGAGAGATGTCAGATTGATCAGACAGAAGATTCTGCAATTGAGTTGGCTTTATTTTTATTCTTATTTTAGTATTACTAGTGTTTATTATTATTATTGTTATTATTGCCATTTTTATTAATATTAGTTAGGTACTATTGGTACCTACACTGTTGACGTCATCGTCTTCATTGCTTACATGATGTCATAGCTGATGTTCTAACAAATGATATGATCGTTGAAAACTTTGTTGCAAAGAGTTATTTATATAGCGCTGCATCATGTAACGTCAGGAGCCTTGCAATCAACTTTCCACAAAGACACAACGTGCACATATGCGCGCGCAAATAACGCAACATACATGCACGTGATATGCGAGAGATCTTTTTGCATTCTAACCCCCACCCCAGTTAGAATGCGGACACTTCACAGCTAATCCACCCACATATACTGATCCTATTCATATTTCAGTGAACTTTTTAGTTGATGTAGTTGTAAAAATTAAACTTGTTATATTTGCAGAGTTCACCAATGAAAAGGATCTCATTGGAAGCGTTCATCAAAACGCTGAAATTTACAAAGACAAATTCGGGACACAAAAAATTTTGAACAGAATAACGAAAATAGAAATTAAAAGTATGGAAGAATCACTAAACGATTGTTGCTTATACAAGAATTACGTGCATTTCATCAAGAACATCCAACCACAATTTGAAGAATTTTTCGCACAGCTCAGTCACGGAACTAGAAATGTCACCTTTCCAAAGTTAAAATGCGTCGGTAGGAAGGCAGATTTCGGAAAATTGAAACTTGTTTTTCCAAGTTAGGCAGTGTAACATTTAATTCATTAGTTTTCTAATGTTTTAATATCTTTAAATACTCTTAAAATTAAAAACCTTCAGGCGACAAATATAAAGTGACGTTCAGAAACGAGACAAAAATCGTTAAAGTCATAAAAACGTGTGCGAAACCACGAACCATAGCATACAGGTCGAACAGAAATCAACTCTTCGTACTGCTCAGTAACTCAAGCAAGACGGAGATATTAATTTACAAATGTTCCAACTACGCAAAACTTGACATGGTTGTGGAAATGAATCAAGTTCAGAACGCTAATGACGCAGTTGTGGTCGATAATTTTCTGTTCATCAGCTCTAGAACGGAACAGTTCCTATATAAAGTCGACTGCTCTGTAATAGATGCTGAACTCATGGTAACGACTGAATTTTATTGTCTTAATATGTTGAAACATCTTTTTTTAATTACGAAAGATATAGAGAGGAGAAAGGAGAGCGAGATAGAAATTATTATTAATATAAACTGTGATCATTTAAACATTTAAATAAAGCTAAATCATGAAAATAAATTTTTCTCTGAAAAATTTCTCAATCATGCAGAAACCAAATCCCAGAAAGAGGATTGAAATCTACCAAACTTCCGGTTGGATCATTCCCAGTTACAACGACGGACTAACAAAAACGGACGAAAAAACTCTCCTCATATCTTGCAACCAGACGAACGAAATCATAGAATCCGGTTTAACAAGCTGTTGCATGCGTCGAGTTAAACTCTCGCATCGCTCGATAACGAATCCCAAACAGGCCTTTAAAATCCCGGATAGTTTGAAATCCCGCTATGAGTTTTACTCTCCGGATAGTTACAATAAATTCGGCAATAATACTGGCGAACAGATTGAAACTGACTCGCGAGTGAGAAAGCGAAATAAATACAGTGATTACTACGTCGTCAGTGTCGCTGGAGCGCTGCACAAATGCTTGATCGTAAACTCAGTCGGTGACGTCATTGTGGAAACTTCACCGGAAGTTAATTTCAAATATCCTGTGTCTTTGGCCTGCCACCACAGGAACAAGAATGGAGATGTAATGGAGATGGCGAACGGTGAAGATTTGGAAATAATCGTTTGCGATCGGATGAAGAACAGACTGTGGTTGTTTGATATGGATTTAAATCCTGTAAAACTAATCACCCCACTGTTTGTGGATAATGAGAATGGAGATGAAGATGGGCATAAAGATGGCGGTGCTGCTGTTACGCAAGCAGCGAGCCAGTTTCAAACGGATATTAACAATTTTTATAAATTTAAAAGTCTGCTCAAAGTGCTGTTAATAAAAAATGATGATGATGATGATGATTGTGACGATGGTGACGATGACGATGAACTGTCACTGGCCGTTGTGGACGAGGACAACTATTCTGTTGTTATCGTTAAACCGCTTGACGGCAAAAGTTAATTAGAAACGAATAAATGGTTCATTTCGTTTTAAATTTATTAATGAATGATTTACATGGGTCTGTGTTATTTTTGTATGTATGTATGTATGTATGTATGTATGTATGTATGTATGTATGTATGTATGTATGTATGTATGTATGTATGTATGTATGTATGTATGTATGTATGTATGTATGTATGTATGTATGTATTATTATGTCACTAAGTTCAGTTCCTGAAATCTTTAGAAGAAATGATAATAAAACAAGATTTGAAAGATGTTATCTCGTTGCCTATCAGAGTTTTTTCTCGTGAGAGAGTGAGAGAAAGAGAAAGAGAGAAAGAAAGATAGAAAGAAAAAAAAGAGAGAAAGAGAGAGAGAGAGAGGAAGAGAGACCTAACAAATTATAACATAATTCTAAAGAACATCCTAGCAAGCCACCGCATACATTGAATTTCAACATGACCTAGGTACCATTGTAAGTTTCAACAGCTGTCCGACAACATTAGCTGAACAATACTACCACGCAGCCCAATAATATCAATAATAATATTACGAATAATTTATAATAATTATTATTATTAATTATTTTAGTATTATTATAATATTACAAATAATTTTTAATTATAATTATTAATATTAATTATTTTAATATTTCAATATTATATTACTTCTAATTAATATTGTTACTAATTTTAAAAAGAGAGAAGAGAGAGAGAAATAAAGAGAGAGAGAGAGGGAGAATAAAGATAAAGGAGTGGCAGAAGAGTTATAACAGTTAATATTATTTTAATTATTATAACGTTGCTCATATTATCATTATTTTTATTATTATTAGTGTTATTATAACTATTATTATTATGTAAATCATTAAATTATTGTTGCCATGTCATAATTTAGGATATTGTTTTTGTTGTTGTTGTGTTTTTTAGTGCTGTTGTTGTTGTTGGTAGTTACTTAATTGTTGTTGTTAAGCTGTTATTGTTGTTGTTGCGCTTTTTTTAGTGTTGTTGTTGTTAATTAATTAGTTAGTTGGTTAATTTTGTTGTTGTTAATGTTGTTGTTATTGTTGTTGTTAGTCATTGTTATGCTGCAATGAATATCTGTAACACTCGCAGCTTCTAAACTGCTCACTGCTTTATACTATATATTATTTTCATTAGAAAGGTATATCAATCCATTAAATTTTCGGGTGACTATTTTCTTAATCTCATTTTCGTTAGAATGAATTTTTAAAATGTTATATATATAATAAATCTATGAATATATAAAAGTTTTTTTTATATAAATTTCGAGTTTTTAGATTATAGAATTAAAGTAAAGATCCATTAAACCAATCGCGACATAGAACGGAAAAATACTTGGTAGGTAGCCAGTCAGACATTCTGAAATTTTGAATATTCTGAATATTCTAAATTTTAAATTAAATTTTTTAACTTAATTTGAATATTCTAAATAATCTAAATCTTGAGTCCAAGGACAATCTAAAATTTTAAATATTCTAAAATTCTGAAATATTATACAACGACAACGAAGAAGAAAAAAAAACACAACTGAAAAATAATGGCGACGATGAAGATGAGGATGATGAAGGCACTGCCCACAGTCCGGTCTACAGTGTGGCTAATTTTCTTGGCATCAGTGCTGAACATCAACCACATGAACGTAGCAGTTGCTAAGATAACTTGTTACGTGGAGCCTATGTTGACCGATCCACTTCCTGCAGAACTCAGTCCGTCATTTTGTGTCTCCAAATACACTTTCTGTAGTGCCTGGCGAGGTTACGACTCAAGTATGTAGTTCAAGGTTATATTTTTGGTGGAATATTGAGGTCAAAGGTTGCGTTATGGACCTAACAGTTTGTCTATATTGTGGGGTCAGCGTATAGTCGTGGGTTAAAGAGGTCGTCTACGTGGCATTTGGGCCTATAAAATATTTTTATAGATTTGAAAATAAGCAAGTGCGTATTTAGTTTAGAGTTTGTTAGTGCGGAAAGGGAAGAAATAGCATAGCGGTGGATTTCTGATGAATGTTGTGTGTTTATTTTTAGATTTGGTTGAACAAATGTAAAATCAACAAAACTGTTAATAACAGTATCATGTGTAACGATTTAAAAAAAAATAACTCAACAACAGGCGGCGTCTTGACTTATTCATTTGCTTGCTCAAACTACGAGTCGACATCGTCAGACGTGCAAGTTAACACCTGCTACAAAAACAGCTCATACGATAGCTACAAAAACATCACTGGATGTTTTTGCAATGATTCTGGCCTTTGCAACGATCCCACCATTTTTACCAGACTGCCTCTAGCCACAACTACCACTACTTCTACCACTACAACAACCACTACAACCACAACCACCACAACTACCACAATAACAACAACAACAACTACTACTACTACTACAGCTACTACTACGGATATTAACAATTTTTATAAATTTAAAAGTCTGCTCAAAGTGCTGTTAATAAAAAATGATGATGATGATGATGATTGTGACGATGGTGACGATGACGATGAACTGTCACTGGCCGTTGTGGACGAGGACAACTATTCTGTTGTTATCGTTAAACCGCTTGACGGCAAAAGTTAATTAGAAACGAATAAATGGTTCATTTCGTTTTAAATTTATTAATGAATGATTTACATGGGTCTTATTTGAGAAACAGCAAACACGGTTTTTTCATGTTTATTTCAAATTTTCTGCACGTCAATCAAAAAAATCAACTTAAAAAAAATGGCCAACCGGCCATTCATTCGTTTCTTCATTTATTCACTCCTTCATTTATACAATTATTGATTCATTCATCTATCTATCTATCCCTTCATTCACTCAACTAGCAAAACAATCACCTTCCGCACACACACACACACACACACACCCAGCAATTATCTTTCGGCAGCCTGCAACCTATAACACATCTTCACAGCCTCTTGGCAGGCAACCAAATCCGGCCATGGCTGTCTCAGATACCTGTGCAACAGTCTCAGGTGACCAACTAGACACGGGAGGGCATATCCGTGGTTGCCCGACATGGCCTCATTGATACCAGAGGCGTAGGAGTCGAAAGAATTTTGGAGTTGGTGGACGATTTTTTCGAGGTTTTGCTGGTGATTGCAGTAGGGGCAGCGAAGGTTTTTCTTGTCCACCTTGTCTGATGACGTTAGTGGGGATCTGCACTTCTCGCACCTTTGTTTGGTTGTCGTTGTAGTGTCAGCGATTGTTGCAGGACGTGTAGTAGTGGCAGTAGTTGTAGTAGCAGCAGTAGTAGGATGTGTAGTAGTGGCAACAGTAGTAGTGGTAATAGTAGTATAAATGAAAAGTAAATGAATGATAAAATGGATGAATGCGATGGAGTGAATAAATGAAATGGATGAATTGTATCGTAATGAGTGGGTGGAGAAAGATCGAGAGTGACTGATGGGAAATTTTTATGGCGTATCGTTCGCCATGTTTGCATGATGCTTCGTAAGATTCGTTGGTGAAGAGGTAATAAAATGAAGGTGAGTGGCTAGACAAACAGACTGATGAAATGAATGATTAGAGTGAATAAATTAACAGAAGTGACTAAATAATTTACAAATGAATGAATGAATGCATGAATGAATGAATAAATGAATGAGTGAAAGGGTGAGTGGGTGAGTGAATGAATGAATGAGTGAGTGGGTGAGTGAATGAATGAATGAGTGAGTGAGTGGGTGAGTGAATGAATAAATGAAAGAGTGAATGAAAGAGTGAATAAATAAAGGAAAGCACGAACTTGTATCCAGGTGCATCTTGAAACATCTCTTCCAGCACGGGCCACTTATTGAAGCAGGCCACGCAACTGAAAATTTAGATAGAAATAACCATAGTTCCAGCAACAAATTTTCATATTTGTTCATTTTTAAATGAATTTTCACATATAAAAAACGTAAGAAATTGAAATAAGCAAACGGATAAATTAACATTTTCAGGTTTCAATGAAATGACAAATGTCGTGCTTACGATATTATTTAACAATCTTTATTAAATTATAATAAAAAATTGAAAGAGAACCAAGTCAGCCTATGAATCTTTACAAATTTTTTATTGATTAAAATATTAAAATATAGTAAAAGGAAGAAGAAAATACGTCATCAGTAGCAACCAACTTGCACATGACGTAGTAATCATTCCACAGCATGCACCTCCTCTTCTCCAGTTTGACCTCATGGAACAGCGGTCCAAATGAGATACTGACCTCTTCACCGGGGAATATCTCCCTAATTGCCCTAACTACGGCTAAGTCATTATAGAAGGTTACATCGGCTGACGGATCGCACGAGTGTTTGAATTGGGAAATGACGTTTGGGTAGAGTGCTATGCCGATTGCCTGGCTCTGCGAATCTTCCGCGTCGCCGAATTTAGTCGTCAGTCTGATCAGTTTAGCGTATCTCTTTATAATTCGGATGTTGTTTATTAGAACAGCTCCTAATCTGTAGAAGTCCTCTGGACGAATTGTTTCATTTGCATGTGCACAGTTTAGAACGTTGGTCGTAATGTTGGTTGTATTCTCGTCAGATTTGGGTCGTAATGATATGTAGTTAGTGAGAGTGAGATACTTGGCGAGGAAACAACTCAAAAGTGGAATTTCAATCATTTTAGAGATATCATTTACGCTGTTTGTCGGTGATTTCTTGAAGCCAACCACCTCCAAGTCGTACAGACGTTTACATTTTTCAACAACATCTTTTGAATTCTTTAAATCATCCCTATCAAAATTCATATTATTATCACCATTTCCAGCTTTTTCAAAAATTTGCAAAACTTCACCCACCCCCAACTTCATGACCATCCTCACAGCCAGGTGACCAACATCTGAGCACATATTCTCACCGAGCAGAGCAAAGAAGCGGCACTCGTGTTTGTGGAATGAGTTGTAAGAAGCATCTCGACATTTCTGACTGCAGAAGATGACGGATGTGCAAGTGAAACACGGATAGGAAACGAGAGGAATGCGTGATAAACAGTTGTAGCATCTCTGCTCTTTTGATCTGGGAATTGTTTTACATTTTTGCTTTATCAAAATATTTTAAGTATGCGTTTGTCAAAATCACCTTCAACGCTGCTTACTGAAAAATAAATTTAACCTACATGTTTGAATTAATGAAACTGAACGAAAGTAATCAAAAATTTTTACCAAAATCAAAAAAATTTCAGCAGAACTTTTAACTAATTTCAAGCCGAAGTCATACGAACCTATCTTGAAAGAGGCAGCTGACCAGAGGTCGCTCAATAACGAGAACGTCACCAGTGCCAACTTCATCTCTGCTCACCACAAAACTGTTGCAACTTTTTTCTCCTTTTATTTCCAACGATTTGACTGCCTCCGGGTGGGTTTCATGTGATTCTTTCGATAATTTTAACGGAAACTCTGAAACAATTTCACTATTTTCATTATTTTCATTTGTGGTTTCAGTTTCATTCTCGCACTGAGATATGCATTTTTCAATGGTCTTCTTCCAACTGATGTACATTTTATCTTCAATGTGTGACTTAACAGACTCAAGATACTCCAAAGCTAGTTTGAAACTATCTTTTGCTTTCTCTACAGAGTTCAATTTCAAATAGCAAACGCCTTTCCTATGCAATAATTTGTGGATTGAATTTTTGAAGTACCTCAGGCGGAGCGCCGTTTCGATGTCTATCAAGCATTCCTGATACTTTCCAAGCTGAAACAGAGCGGCTGACCTGATAAGAAAGAACAGTTGATGTTGTAGATATATTTTAGGCAGGGCGAAACAATTTGAAAAAAAACATTCATCTTAATTTTCAACTTTTATTTGGAAACATTTTTTATTTAATAAATTATTTTAATAGCTTTATATGATGTTATAAATAATCAAGACATCGCATCGAAAAAATTATAAATAAGCGCTTTAATAATAAATTCATCCAAAAAAGGTAAAATATTCATCCCAACCATCTAACATCCCGTTTAAATCGATCCATTACCTGTTTCCAAGTGCGAGAGAAATCTCAGAGCCGTCATCAACTTCACTCCTCTTGTCATCATTTTCACTCATTTCAGTCACATTAATGTCGTCATGTGGCTTAACATCACCATCAATTTTATTAGCCTGACCATTTAAATGTTCATCATAGACTGCATGTATGACCGCCATGTTATATTCTCTTAAAGCAGTCAGAAACGATTGTTTTTTAAAGTATTCATTGCCTTTTTGGCGAAAATTCTTGCACTTATCATCTGACTTTCTCTCGTACTCTTCCTCCAAAGATAGCACGTCATGTGTGAAGTCAAGAGACCATAGAAATTTAAAAACTTCGACGTCATTGGAGCAGTTGAAGAATTGGCTTTGTTGGGATTCCGTTAAAGAACCTTTCACTGCCTGGACCATGTACTCCAAGTTTTTTCCAACCGTTAATATGTCTCTATCTTTGGTTAAGTTCCTCTTCATCGTGTTGTTTTCTGAAGTAATATAGAAAAATTAGAATTGTGATTGAAATTAAAATTGAAATAAAGTTAAAGTTTAAATTTTGAATAAAATTAAAGAGAAATGTAATAGGTAAAAATTACTTCTTAAATCAGTTTTAATTGTTTTTAAACAAAAATAATCCTTATATTTAGAACCGATCGTGAAATTGCACATAGAGCTCTTGTCGTTAGTAATCACTAGCCTTGATTTAAATTTCGGCCTCATGTATTTGTAGGGTTTAACATAAAAAAAACTTACTATATTGCTCTAAATAACAAATTACTATGTTGAATGAATGTTAAAAATTACTATACCGAATGAATACTGGAGATCTTTTTACGATTCACGTAGAGGCAACAACTTTTTTCTTGTAGACGAAAGATGAACTGAAAATCTGAAAATATACATACAATCATACAACATACATACATATATACATACATACATACAAACACACATACATACAAACATACATACATACATACATATATATATATACATACATACAACATACATACATACATGCATACATACATACATACAAACACACATACATACATGCATACATACATACATACATACATACATACATACATACATACATACATACATACATACATACATACATACATACATACATATATACATACATACATAGATACATACATACATACATACATATATTTAAACATACGTACATATATACATACACAAACACATACATACATACATACTAGCTAAAAAGTTCTAGCAAGTTTTAGAAGCACAGAATACTCAGTCGAAATATATACTATATATATATATATATATATATATATATATATATACTGTATATAAAAAGAAATAATATATGTGTTTGTATATACCATATGTATATACTATATATAACAATTGTATGCCATATATTTTTTATGAAATATATGAAAAGTATAGACAGTTAAAGTATGGTAAGAAAGATGAATGAATGGCTGGATGAATTGAACAATGAAATGCAACGTTGCTGATGATGTGGTGGTGATGATGATGGTGATGATGATGATGGTGGTGATAGTGATGGTGATGATGATGGCGATGATGATGATGATGATGATGTGATGATGATGTGATGATGATGTGATGATAATAACGATAATAATGATGACACAATAACGATACTTTTGTAATGTGTGTGTATGTGCGTATAAGAGTGTGTGTTTGTGTTTCTGTGTGCGTGTGTATGTGTGTGTGTTCGTGTGTGTGTCTATATGTGTGTGTGTGTGTGTGTGTGTGTGTGTGTGTGTGTGTGTGTGTGTGCGTGCGTGGGTGCGTGCTATCAAGACAGACTGTTGCCATAAATGGAAAATTTATTAAATTTTGATTTCTCTCAAGTCGCGAAATTCTCTCTCCTTGGAGATTCGTTTATTTCGCACGAATTCATTTGAAAAATAATGAAAAATAAATTAATTATAAAACGTTTTATGAAAAATAAGAATATCTTTTCTCATTTTTTAATTATAGCTAAAAACTCGTCAAAATTAAAGATTTAAAGACTGAATTGACGAATGAACGAACGAACGAACGAAAGAAAGAAGGAACGAATGTATGGATGAATGAGTGAATGAATCAATTAATGAATTAATAAACGAATGTGATTGATTGAATGATGGAATTGTGGTTTCAAAATGAATTTAATGCTGATTAAATGAAATAAATAAAGAGCGTATGGACGCTTAAATTTAATTGCGCACTCGCTCAGATGCTTTTTCATTTAAATTAAGAAGCCTATATTAATACATACATACGTTTGTATGTATGTTTGTTTGTTTGTATGTGAGTATGTGTAAATGTATATGTGTGTGTGTACAATTGTTTGTATGGCACACGATTTTGTATATACCCGTATGTATGCCGCTGCGTACAATATCCACTTGTACAAAGAGCGTGCATTTGAATTCAATTTAATGTTTGCAGTACTTTGAATGGAGTTGTATGGTTGAATGGAATTGAGGTCTATAGATGGACGGGGGAAGGTCTTCTGAACGTTCTTTCTTTGAAATTGTCATAAAAACGTAGTACTATTTTCAATGTCTTGTTTTGATTTCGTGTTTTTAAGCTTTTTTTTGCGGTTTGTTTTGTACCTGTTGCTAACATACATACACGCCCACAGACACACAAAAAAACACACACACATACACACATACATACAAACAAACAAACACACATACATACAAATATATTCATTTTATTGCGCCTAGCTATTTAGAAGGCAGCTCAGTCTCACCTTCTTTCGCATCATTGAATCCTTAATTTTCTCTCCGTCCCGACGTACAGGATTTTTTTCATGTAAGCAAACACAAGAAAAAACATGTTCTGTTTGGTTTTTATAAACGCACACACACACACACACACACACACACACACACACACACACACACACACACACACACATACACATACATACACACACACACGCAGGGAAACATTCACACATACACTCACACGTACCGGCAATTGCATATACAAACGTCAAATAATTCAGTTTTTGTCTCTTCTAGAACTGATCTAATCCACGAAATAATAATTAAAACATATTGTAATACGACATCATAAAATATAATAAAATAATACCTTTACTAATGTTTACAATTTAATAAAACAATGTTTACAATATGATATAATATTTGAAGCTTACATGATAGAGTTGACAGGACAGCATGTTTGTTGACGTCAGTTCACTTCCTGTAATGCTTCCAGGTTTTTTTTTCAAAATGGTACCCGGGTCAAAAAAGGTCATCACATAGGTGAGGCGTTTGGAGTTATTAAAGAGAAATTAGGTCAAAGGTCATTATATAGGTCACAGCTATTGCTGGCTGTTAAATGTCACCGTTACGATCGGATTATTAGCTTATAAATAACATCTAAACGTTTGAGTTTAAGGGAGTTTCCATCTGTCTCATCATCGTCGCACTTAAATTTTCGTTCCTAAATTTCATTATTTATTAATATTTGATGATTTAAAATTTTGTGAGAGACGCACCATGCATTCATACACATATAATGTGACACACACACACACACCAACACACACATAACAAAACACACTCACACACACACATATAATTTGACACACATACACACATAACATAACACACAACACACTCACACACACTTAACCTGACATAGGCACACACACACCGCAAGATATATCAAAACAATCTAACCTAGTATAACACAACGAAACAAATGTTATTTTTACTTTAACCAACTACCCTAAAGAAGTTACTCGAAAGTTACTCTCGTATGTAACCAAAATGATTACTCTTCTTTACAAAGCTCAGACGGTAATGATTTTGAGATGGTTGACCGCATAGTTCTTTTTACGAATTGGAGTCTTGGGTGTAGTTAAGTGCGAAAGTATTGTAATTACTACTATAAATATTACTCTACTGCTACTACAATTGTTACTACTACTGCGGCTGATACTACAACTACTACTACTGCTGCTACTGCTACTACTATTGCTATTACTACTGCTACTATGGATTCTGTTACTACTATTATTACTACAATTGCTAATTCTACTACTACTACAAACGTTGCTGTTACTACTACTATTGCTACTGCTGCTACTGCTACTACTATTGCTGCTATCGCTACTACTGCTGCTGACGCGATGATGACGTCAATCGCAATGTCATTGATGTTATAATAATAATCGTGTTGACGTATTTCCGGTATGATGATGACGATGATGATGAAAGGATGAGGAAGATGATGATGATAGTAGTTCCGGTGTTATGGTAATGATGATAATGAGATGGTATTGATGATAATGATGATGATGAGATAATGATGATGATGGCGATGCACTGAAGATTCTATTCCTGGAATGAAACGTGAGTAAAGTATTTTGTAAAAATTTTCAATCATAATTTGAAGTTAATTGAGGTTCATAATCTGCTTCGATCTTTTTTATTTTCTGTCTGCCTGTTTTTCCTTTCTTCTTCTCTACCTTTCTTTCTCTCTCTCTTTCTTCCTCATTCTCTTTCTCTCCCTTTCTCTTCCTCATTCTCTCTTTCTCTCTCTCCCCGACGAGTAAGAATCATGAATCAGTCAACTTCATCTTGAGCATTTAAATGGTCAATTATTTGCTATTAAGTTAAATTTAAGATTTTAAAATTAAATTTGTACATCATCAGATCAAAAAATTTAAACGATAGCTATTCTGAGCATGATGTAATGGTTATATATGAAATTTTAAATACATTTTGGCTTTTTTTGGCTTTTTAAATCATTTGAGTTTAGTAACAAACAAACTTACGCAGTACCTGTATATATTATTGAACAACATCCTGGTTCGATAGCTGTCCGTTCTAACCTTAAGAACATTACGCTGTACGCTTTTTGATTAGGTGTCTTGTGTGTGTGTGTGTCTTGTGTGTGTGTGTCTTGTGTGTGTGTGTCTTGTGTGTGTGTGTGTCTTGTGTGTGTGTGTCTTGTGTGTGTGTCTTGTGTGTGTCTTGTGTGTGTGTGTCTTGTGTGTGTGTGTTTTGTGTGTGTGTTTTGTGTGTGTGTGTTTTGTGTGTGTGACTTTTGTGTGTGTGACTTGTGTGTGTGTGTACTGTGTGTTATGACCGCGTGTTGAAAAAAATAATAAATAACAATAAATGGATAAAAAAGATTAATCCTATTGAACTGAGGGCCGTCTGGTAAAATATTTGGCTGCTGGCGACATCAAAAAATAAAAATTTTCTAAAGAAAACGAAGAAAAACAGGCAGAAACAAAAGCAGAAATACAGATACAACCGTAAAACAGCATTAATTCAAGACGTTGTGAATTTTTATGTGAATTTTTTTACTCATCTATAACATTTAATGATATTTTTTAACCTGTTTTTCAATAGAAATTTTAAATTAAAAAAAATTTATTCAAATTTATTAGCAGCACTAAATGTAGCAATAAAGTGCAATTGCATAAGGATTGATTTTATTATCTTAAATCAAATTTCTATGTCAGATGTAATAAATTTGATTAATACATCTGTCCGTATCTCTGTGTAAGTGCGTTTAAGAGTGTGTTTGTGTTTGTTTGTGTGTCTTTGTGTGTATATATGTATGTGTGTGTGTTGTGTGTGTGTGTGCGCGCGCGCGTGTGTCTCTGTGTGTATATATGTATGTGTGTTGGATGTGTGTGTGTGTGTGTGTGTGCGCGCGCGCGCGTGTGGGCAGCGTAATTTTAAAATTTTGTGATCCGAATTAAGGGGGAGAAAAATTGAACGTAATAAAGAGGTAAACCCAAACAACTTCCGGAAATCACACGGCCTAATCCGCCGCCCATCCCACCTTCCTTCCGTCTTCCCATACATCCAGTGCCCATATCGCGGAATAAATTAATCCCACAGATGGCACGTCAGTGCAGAAGTTATTATTACGTGATATTTGAATTTATGTTAACATATACCGTCTCATATATATATAATGACACACACACATATATATAAATATATATTAACTACAAAACACATACACTCGTATATACATATGCACATATACTAAAGTACGTTCAAATTTGATGACTGTGTTATTGCTAGGAATAAAATTATGCCAAGTAATAAATTTCATATGTGTGCGTGTGTGGGCCTGTATGTGTGTGTGTGTGTGTGTGTGTGTGTGGGCGTGTATGTGTGCGTGTGTTTATATATTATATAATTTGAGATACAGTATGGCAGTAATAATTTGTTATCAGTACATTTCAGAAAAGAAACACAGGAAAAATACTTTTTGTAAAATTAGTACGTCCGTCTACCTATTTGTATTTTTTCTCGCCCATTTTTTCTCGCGTTTTTTCCCGCGTTTTTTTCCCGCGCAATTGTTTTGGTGTATGATTCCAAGTGATAAATGGGTGTCAGCATGCAATTGAACAAGCATATCGTCGTCTGGTCAAATGTTACATATATACATACAAACAAACATACACATACACAAACATACACACATACATACATACTTACATACATACATATATTCATACATACATGCACACATACATACATATACACACCAACACAAACATGTTTACTTTCTTCAATTACAAGTATTTCATGGCTTATTCGCCATAACTCGACATTAGTAAAAGCACGATTGCAGTGGAAGTGATCGATCTATGTTGTTGATGTTGTTGTTGTTGTTGATGTTGTTGTTGCTGTTGTTGATGTTGTTGTTGTTGTTTTTGGTTGATGTTGTTGATGTTGATGTTGCTGATGTGATTTTTGTTATGGTTTTTGAGGTTATGTCTTGTTAGAGTTGCTAATTTGGTTATTGAGGTAGTTGCGAATGTGTCGAGTTGGTGTAGTTTGTTGCTGTCTTAACAAAAGCACTTGTTATTTGTTATTTTCAGCAAAAATTTGTAAAACTTTAAAATTTGATTAAATGAAATTTTGCTACCATAGGCGTTGTTACATATTAATGTGTTGTTGTTGTTGTTGTTGTTGTTGTTGTTGTTGTTGTGGCAATCACGTTTTTACTGTTATGATATTTTTGTAAAATGTTATTTATACAACCTAGCTCTGAAATTACTGAGCTTAGCAACGTCTAGCTTAACAATTGAAACGCATTCATGTAGTGCGGACCATCAACGCCAAAGTAACATTACTACTGTGATGATACCTTTGCATACAAACAGCAGCTAGGCGAGATAGGACATAGAAGAACTTTGAATATCTCCTCCTTGTACATCCAACAATAACAATGTAAAAAGTTTTAATTTCTTTAATGGCAATTTTGAAGAATATTTATTGAATAATAATTTATTAATAATATTCGTTAATTATTATTATATGGTTATAATTTATAAATTTTCAGTAATGGTCTTCGGCAGTGTTTTACCTCATGGTAAAAATTTATATAACCCAGAACAGAACGTTGGCGAAACTTGCAGCGGAACATTTTAACCCAACATAACTGGAGTAAACTTTCATTAACCTGACCCAATTAAACTTTAAAATGGGGTCAAAGTCAACAGCGTCACTAGCGTTATTGACGACTTTCATCGTCGCTCTGTTCTCCAGCTCATGTCACGCCATAAAATGTTACGATACCGAGCAGCTAGCACTATACGCCAACTCGTCTAACCTTAATATGAAGAGCTGCATCTCTAAATATCTGTTCTGCAGTGCCTTCAGAGGCTACAGTAATGGTTGGTTGGGTCGGGGGTAAAAGGTCAAAAATTATTACTGCCGTTTTGAATCAGCAGTGGTTAATTGTATGACGGTTCGATGTTGAAGGTGAGAAGGTTATAAAATTTATTTTTTGTCGGTATGGAGTCAACAAAAGTTATTGATATTAGCATCTATGTCAAGAATGAATGTCAAATTGTTTATTTCTAAAAAAAATTTATAAACTAATTGCTACTTATTCACCGTTGAATTACAATAAACTCGATTCTTATAAAACGGCAATTACATTATTTTCTCATTCTCGAGTACACAACATTATGCCCCTTCCCTTACTTTCAATTTTAGAAAACCATTATCATTTTTAACCATCTTTAAATCCAGACATAAAAAAACTCAAACAAATACTTTTGATTCCCGCCAAAACAGGAGTCTTATACTACTTGATGAGGTGCGACAACTACGACATGACTTCTAAAGACATCACACTCAACAGATGCTACAGCAACGACTCATACGCCAACACGTACACGAACGCAGTCGCCTGCTTCTGCGACGCGGACTACTGCAACGATGCTGACGCCTTCACGAAGTTTACCCTGCTGTCAGAACCGACTAGCACTACGACCACAGCGGCTCCTACTACTACCACAACAACGATGACGACAACTTTTATTACGCCTAAGGCGAACGACGCTAACGATGTTAAATTGAATGTAGCGGTACATGCTTTGGTAACTGCAGTGAGCTTTTTGTTGGGTTTTTCGGTGATTTTATAAATTTTAAATTTGATTAATGCTAAAATTAATAATTTTTTTTCTTCAAACACTAATAGTTTTAGCATCCTTAGACGTTTTATTTAATGATAGTTTGTAATTTAATGGTATCTATTGTCTGTTGATTAAATTGTATATCATATTTTTTTAGATACAATTAAATTTACGTAGTTGCTTATGTTAGTTTTTGATACATTGGTGTAATCTTTCGATTACATTTTGAACTAATAAATTGTTAATAAAAATCTAATTCGTGCTATTTTCTATGAATAAATGAAATTGAAAAACAGTTCGTAATGGTACGTACATATTTATTTCATTATAATAGATTTTGTCAAGGAGTTTTCAAATTTAAATAGCGATTATTTTGTTTAAATTTATGAAAAATTTAAAATATATTAAAATTAAATAAATTAAATTAAACAACAAGAAGAAACACACCAAATTGAAAAAAATTGCCTGTGTTCATTGAAAAGTAAAAAAAATTAATAAATACATAATTGTTTACAAAATATTTCCTAATTTTAAAAAAAGTACAATCAAAACATAACATGACAATGTCGATCCATCAATATCAAATAAATTTTTATTCATTAGGCCCAACTAAGCGTTTTTTCACTTTTAACAGTAGTAGTAATACTACATCGAATTTACTCTATCCTATCCGTTTCTGAGTATTTCGCATTACAAGTAGAGGTGAGTGGGAATTGTAATTTGTTGCCAATTCTCTCCAAATTTTTTTTCTCATTCCAAATTCTCTCCCAAATTTCCATTTATGACAACGATCCCGAAAATTTCCCTTCTCATGCTCACCTCTAATTACAATTAAGTATGAAAATGGGAGTGTATCAAACTTTGGGTAAATTTCTGTATCTGTATCGAAAGATTTGTGGATCGCTCCTATTGAATAACTTCAGAAGCGCTTCACTCGAGAGTGTCAAAACAAATGATGCTTCAAACGTGTTTCTTGATGTTTCTTGAAAACATGTCGGCTTGTGTTGTTGAATTTCTTCAAATTTACAGATAGTGACTTTCAGATTTTTGCAGATGAAGCAGAAAATCTTATTTTTCCAAAACAAGACAAATTGACTTTAGGAAGCACAAAATCATCATTATCGGAGGATCTAAGTGGATTTGCAAACGAGTGTTTAACACAATTTGCAATTTCTGAGACTAATTGTAGTTGTTCTTTAAATAAGTATGTATGTCACCAGCAAAACAATCTCAGACTAGAAGAGCTGGTTTGAAACGATTTTTTCTGGCATGCCGAATCAGTGCAGATCTTCTCTGATGTATGATGACGTTGAATCGAATTCATGGGAGTAATTAAGTAACAATAACGGTATAAGCCGGTGTGAAAAAAAAGATTTTTTTTTACTAAAAAACTAAATAAATTTAATCGAAAATGACAAATACTTTATATACTTTATTAAATAGTTATTTAAAAAATTAATTTTTTTTGACAAGAAATTAAAAGATAATCATAAAAAAATCACATATTTTTCAGAAGAAATTCGTAGACAACTTTGAAAGCTTCGTGACGAAAAGCAAAGTCTAATGAAAACAGTTATTTGATTAATTCAACAATAATAATGCAGAATGGTATAATGGTTAAGATGTCTGGTAGAATTTCAAGAGTGACAGAATTTGAATGCAAAGAAAACCCTTCGTATATCAATGCATGTGATGAGTAAATTTTCGCGTATTTACATGCACTGTATGTGTGCGTGTGTGTGTGTCTGTGTGAGTGCGCTTATACGTGTGTGTGTGTCTGTGTGTAGATGACATTTTTGGAAAATATTTACAAAAGAATAGTTAAAAATTCGTGTTCGTTGATTCTTTTCTTGTGTTATTGTGTTACTCTCTGTATTACGTACAATACTTACATCTACACCGATACAACATGATCCGCAAGTAAAACAAACAAATTGCATGATTTGTCAGAATGTGTATAATTAATATTGATCATAAAAACACTAACTCTTATATACTTACATGCATACATGCATACGTACATATATACAAACATACATACATGCATGCATACATACAAACATACATACATACATACATACACGTTGTATCCTAGGCGTATTCTACGTAGGTTTGTTCTCTAGTGCTTTTTATTTGCATTGGTTTTAGGTTGTATTGTTGTTGCTCTGGTATGAATTCTGTGTGTATTGTATGGTATTTTTTATAGATGGTATTGTATTTGTTTAGTAATTTTGTTTTTTGTAGGTAATGTTATTTAAAGTTAGAGCACTAAATTCCCTTTTTATTTTTTCAATATTTTCAGGACTGATTGAGTCGTGCAACTTCTTGCCGTATTCAGCGAACATTAACGTATACATAGGTACATACATATGCACATACATATATAGATACATACATACATACATACATACATACATACATACATACATACATACATACATACATACATACATACATACATACATACATACATACATACATACATACATACATACATACGCACATACATGCATACATACAAACATACATACGTACATACATACTAACAAACAAGCAACATGCATACCTAAATACAAGTGTTCATAGTGGCATATCGTAGAATCGTGCTGATCGTTACGCTCTAATGCTCATTGATGCTACCACCTTTTCTGTGTTATTTTTGTATGTATGTATGTATGTATGTATGTATGTATGTATGTATGTATGTATGTATGTATGTATGTATGTATTATTATGTCACTAAGTTCAGTTCCTGAAATCTTTAGAAGAAATGATAATAAAACAAGATTTGAAAGATGTTATCTCGTTGCCTATCAGGGTTTTTTCTCGTGAGAGAGTGAGAGAAAGAGAAAGAGAGAAAGAAAGAGAGAAAGAAAAAAAAGAGAAAAAGAGAGAGAGAGGAAGAGAGACCTAACAAATTATAACATAATTCTAAAGAACATCCTAGCAAGCCACCGCATACATTGAATTTCAACATGACCTAGGTACCATTGTAAGTTTCAACAGCTGTCCGACAACATTAGCTGAACAATACTACCACGCAGCCCAATAATATCAATAATAATATTACGAATAATTTATAATAATTATTATTATTAATTATTTTAGTATTATTATAATATTACAAATAATTTTTAATTATAATTATTAATATTAATTATTTTAATATTTCAATATTATATTACTTCTAATTAATATTGTTACTAATTTTAAAAAGAGAGAAGAGAGAGAGAAATAAAGAGAGAGAGAGAGAGAGAGAGGGAGAATAAAGATAAAGGAGTGGCAGAAGAGTTATAACAGTTAATATTATTTTAATTATTATAACGTTGCTCATATTATCATTATTTTTATTATTATTATTATTATGTAAATCATTAAATTATTGTTGCCATGTCATAATTTAGGATATTGTTTTTGTTGTTGTTGTGTTTTTTAGTGCTGTTGTTGTTGTTGGTAGTTACTTAATTGTTGTTGTTAAGCTGTTATTGTTGTTGTTGCGTTTTTTTAGTGTTGTTGTTGTTAATTAATTAGTTAGTTGGTTAATTTTGTTGTTGTTAATGTTGTTGTTATTGTTGTTGTTAGTCATTGTTATGCTGCAATGAATATCTGTAACACTCGCAGCTTCTAAACTGCTAACTGCTTTACACTATATATTATTTTCATTAGAAAGGTATATCAATCCATTAAATTTTCGGGTGACTATTTTCTTAATCTCATTTTCGTTAGAATGAATTTTTAAAATGTTATATATATAATAAATCTATGAATATATAAAAGTTTTTTTTTATATAAATTTCGAATTTTCAGATTATATAATTAAAGTAAAGATCCATTAAACCAATCGCGACATAGAGCGGAATATTCTGAATATTCTAAATTCTAAATTAAATTTTCTAACTTAATTTGAATATTCTAAATAATCTAAATCTTGAGTCCAAGGACAATATAAAATTTTAAATATTCTAAAATTCTGAAATATTATACAACGACAACGAAGAAGAAAAAAAAACACAACTGATAATAATGGCGACGATGAAGATGAGGATGATGAAGGCACTGCCCACAGTCCGGTCTACAGTGTGGCTAATTTTCTTGGCATCAGTGCTGAACATCAACCACATGAACGTAGTAGTTGCTAGGATAACTTGTTACGCGGAGCCTAAGTTGACC